ACAAGCTGAAGCTGAAACCCCTGACATAACTGAGGAACCTACTTCAGAGAAAAAGAAAAAGAAATCCTCCGAAAAACGAGCTGAAGCTGAAACCCCTGACATAACTGAGGAACCTACTTCAGAAAAAAAGAAAAAGAAAGCATCAAAAAAGCATGCATCGGATGTTGACATATCTGAGGAATCAAAAGAAAAAACTGAGAAAAAAAAGAAACATAAGACCGAAACGGAAGAACGTGAAAAGAAAAAACATAAAGAGGAAAAAACTAAATCTTCTAGTAAAGGAAAGACTGAAAAGGAGAGCGCGGAGACCGAATCATCAAAGAAGAAACAAATTGTAGAAGAGCAAAGCACATCTACATCTGATGAACCAAAGAAATCAAAAAAGAAAAAAAAAGTTGCTGAAGAACAAAGCTCGGAAGCTGGTACTACTTCTACAGAAAAACCTGAAGAACCTGTTGGTTCTCCTGAACATTCAAAAACTAAATCCAAGAAGCGTAAGGTTTCTGAGACGGAAGATGTTACCAAGGAGCAAAGTGTCGAACCACCCAAACCTGAAAAGTCAAAGAAAATAAAGGTGTCAAAAGATAAGTCCGCGAAAGTTGAGGAGACAAAGACGAAAGGAAAGCAAAAAGAAGAGGAACCTGTCAAAGCAGAGTCAAGTAAAGTTGAAAAAACTAAGGTAAAAGAATTGAGTTTTTTCGGTTTGTTGGGAATCGTTTGAATATAATATAACTGATGGTTTATTTTATTTTTGCTGTTTTTATTTAGGAAAAGAAAGAAAAGAAGGATAAAGAGAAAAAAGATTCAGGAAAGAAAGTAAAAGACACAGAGAAGAAGGATAAGGAAAAGAAAGATAAGAAAAAAGAGAAGAAGGCTAAGGAGTAGGACTTGGAGTTCAGAACCGGGTTATAGTAAACCGGGTAACCCGTGTCAAAACGGTTCAACCGGGTCAAACCACTTGAATATGTAACCTCTAAAATCTGTTCTATTACACAGAAAACATAAAATTTGACGCATTATTGTATTGTGAAATAAACACTTTTTTTTTCTTACGAATTTATCTAAATGTTTAATCTTACCAATCTGGATTTAAAATAAAGTTACAAACTTTCGGAGACTATCATGACTATCTATTGCGAATATTTTGTATAAAAATTTTTTTTTGTATAAGCCTTTATTATTATTTTCTTATATGTAATACACTATAGGTTCGACACGTTCGATAGCAGGGTTGGCAAATGATTTAAATAACTTAATAACTAGAACATTTTGTATTTGGTTAATGTGAGTATACAACTAGTTACATGTACAACTTTTGGTTATTTATTTAAGTAGTTTTCTTGCAGGTTTTACACTAGTTGCTATACTTGTAATCTGCTAGGATATTACTTATTTAAACATTCTGATTTTTATATTACATTAATCAAAAAGTCTTGTGGTTCTTATACACCTAAGTGTCATTTAACCTAACATTTAGTTTTCTTTTTTTTTATAATCATCAAGTTGTTACTCATTTTGAAATATGTCACCTAATTGTAAGGTTTAAGATGTTTTTCGGAGGATTTCTTTTTCTTTTTCTCTGAAGTAGGTTCCTCAGTTATGTCAGGGGTTTCAGCTTCAGCTTGT